AATAGGAATAGGAATAGGAATAGGAATAGGAATAGGAATAGGAATAGGAATAGAATAGAATAGAATAGAATAGAATAGAATAGTTGGAATGGAATGGAATATGAATACGAATAGGAAAAGAACAGAATAGAACAGAACAGCCTGTAGAATAGACTAGAAATAGAGTAGAAATAGAGTATAATAGCATATAGAATAGAATAGAACAGAATAGAATAGAACTGTTATATTAAAACAATCATGTTTTAAACCACCCAAAAGTTTAGAATATAGAAGAGACGAGAAACGAATAGAATAGAAAAGAGAATAGAATAGAATTAAAAATAGAATAGAATAGAATTGTTATATTAACAAAAAATGTTTTAAACCACCTGAAAGTTTAGAATATAGAACAACAGAGTTAGAAGGGACCTCGGAGGTCTTCTAGTCCAGCCCCCTGCTTAGGCAGGAAACCCTACACCACTTCAGACAAACGGTTATCCAACATCTTTTAAAAGGCTTCCAGTGTTGGAGCATTCACAACTTCTGGTGGCAGGTTGTTCCGCCGATTGATTGTCCTCACTGTTAGGAAGTTTCTCCTTAATTCAGGGTTGCTTCTCTCCTTGATGAGTTTCCACCCATTGCTTCTTAAACCGCCCCTTCAGATGTTTTGGAGAATAGCTCGACTCCCTCTTCTTTGGGGCAGCCCCTCAAATATTGGAAGACTGCTATCATGTCACCCTAAGTCTTTCTTTTCATTAAACTAAGCAAACCCGATTCCCGTAACCGTTCTTTACATGTTTTATCCTCCAGTCCGCTAAGCCTCTTGGTTACTCTTCAGTTGCAGATATCTGCTTCTCAACTTAACCAGCATGGTCAAAGAAAGAGAGCCACATTGGCCCAACGTCGGCTTGTCCGTTTGTTGAAAGGTTTGGAGTTCGATCGGAGTTATCATCTACTCCTCTTTTGCCCGCAAAAGTTAAGTTTTTTTCCGTGCCAGGCGCAAAAACTCACCTTCCAAGATGGGGTTGGCTTCCAGGACCTGCTGTTCGATCCAGGAATGCTGACCACTGATGGCCGCGAGGAACTGAAGGATCAACTTGGTGCTTTCGGTTTTTCCCGCGCCCGACTCACCACTGCGGAAATAAAAATTTTTTTTAAAAAATAAGAATACAGATAATCCTCGACTTATCGCCACAATTGAGCCCCAGATTTCGGTGGCTAAGCGAAACATTTCTTAAGTGAGCTTTGTAGCCTGTTTTCTGACCATTCTATGCCCAGTTGTTAAGTGAACACGACAGTTAATAGAATAACAGGGTTGGAAGGGACCCTGAAGATCTTCTAGTCCAACCCCCGCTAAGCAGGAAACCCTATATCAGTGGTGGCTAATCTTTTTGGGCTCCTGTGCCAAAAATTGTGTGTGCGCTTGCACATTTGCACTCGTGTGTCAGCAACCAGAAGGCAATGCGGGCCCCCCCCATGCCCCATATGCATGAGTGCACAATCCCCACCCCACCCCCCCACCCCGCTGCTCCCTGACCTGCACTGCGCCTTACAGCTGATTTTGGGCCAATTTGAGGCCTTTTTCAGCCTCCCAGAGGCTTGAGGAAGGCTTCTGCAGGCTTTGCAGGCCGAAAAATTGCCCCATTTCGTCACTCCTGGTATTTTCGGGAAAAGCAGGAAGTGATGAAACGGGGCTAGTTTTTGGCCTGCAAAGCCCGCAGAAGCCTTCCTCAAGCCTTTGGGAGGTCGAAAAAGGCCTCAAACCAGCCGAAAATCAGCTGTGAGGTGCGCGCATGCGCAGTTAGGTAAGTTTGCCTACAACTCACGTGCCAGCACAAATGCTATAGATTCGCATGCCATAGATTCGTCATCATGGCCCTTTACCATTTCAGACAAATGGCTGTCTAATTTCTTCTAAAAATCTTCCGCTGTTGGACCATTCACAACTTTCAGAGGCAGATTGTTTCTCTGATTCATTGTTCTCACTGTCCTTTGTTAGTGAAG